CTGGTGATAATACGAGCAGCAGAGTTCTGGACACGTTGAAGCTTATGGAGAGATTTTTGACTAAGACCAAAAAGAAGAGAGTTACAGTAATCGATCCGGGAAGTGACCAGGCTATGAACAAGAACAGCAGTGACATGTGGGAAAAGGACAGAGACGATTAATGTTACACAAATGGAAATATGCAGACCGAGTAACGTTATTGATGTGTGAGTTACAAGAGTACTATCGAGGATGACACCCAAACTTTTCACTCATGGAGAAACAGAGACTGGCCAGTTATTGATTGTAATTGAAAAGCTATTAGTTCTGGATAGTGTTGTTTAGTGCCTACCAGCAGAAGCTCTGATGTGTTACTATTGAGTTTAAGAAAATTGGAAGAGAACCAGAAATTTAGTTCGGCTAAACAGAGGGTGAGGGACTACAGCTCATCAACAGCTGTATAAATATCTGTAACATTTAAAGAAAGAAATCAACTGTTGATCATAAATGATCAGAAATGTGAAAGCTTGTCTTGCATATGTGCTAAACAGGAAGTTTGCTCACAGAGGATAGACAGTTACAAGCTGCTCATCAGAATCAGTATCAAAAGCAGGTGTTAACCATTCAGTCATTTCTTCAGCTGTCAATAACAATAATTTTACTGAGTTTGTAGTTTCCCCTTTGGTTGCGTTTACAGTAGCATCCCAGTGACAGACCGACAAGGATCAGAACTCCCAGTAAGGTTCCACGTATTATGTATGGGATGGAGCTGACTGTAAAAAAGAAAAGAAGAAGAATATACACGAGGCAAATTAAAAACACCAAAACAATCACAATGAATTTAATTCTTGGATTAAAGATTGGATTATTCTCAACTGCTGTATCATTTCTAGAGGAAAATATCATGATTGATCTTCAGTGACTCATTTTCCAGGAAGTATCTGACAACACTCACCTTGTACATCAACGTTAAACTCCTTGGTGACAGTCCCTACTGTATTGCTCACAGTGCAGATATACTGTCCTTTATGCTCAAAGCCGACAGAAGTGATAGTGAGAACGCTGCCAGTGTAGGAAGATGAGCTATTTTTTGGGCGTGTCCAGTTGTATGAGGGGCTGGGGTTTCCCACAGAGGAGCAGTTCAGGTGTAGAGTGTCTCCTTCTGTGATTGTGATCACATCTGGATTTGGTGGTTCCTTTAGCTCAGGCCCATCTGTGAGATTATTGAAGAAGAAACAGAACACAATATATTAGCAAAATCAACCATTTTTAATTTAAAAGAGTAATGTTCAGACAATTCCTTTAATAATAATAATGGATTGGATTTATATAGCGCTTTTCAAGGCACCCAAAGCGCTTTACAATACCATTATTCATTCACTCTCACATTCACACACTGGTGGAGGCAAGCTACAGTTGTAGCCTCAGACTGACAGAAGCGAGGCTGCCATATCGCGCCATTGGCCCTTCTTGCCAACACCAGTAGGCGGGAGGGTAAAGTGTCTTGCCAAAGGACACAACGACCAGGACAGAGAGCCCAGGGATCAAACCGGCGACCTTCCGGTTACAGATACGCTTCCCAACCCCCTGAGCCACGGTCGCTAATCTCTGCTGAACTGTGTACAGTCAGCCTCTGAGGCTTTCTGGAGTTTTTACTAAATGTTCTCATTTAATGTTATCCCCTCTATCATATGATGCACATATAAGTATGGTGGTTTCTGGATCCAGATGTGAGTCAGAGTAGCGAGTTAACAGTTGTGTCTGACATCAGACTCCTTTGTTTGGATAAGTTACCTGATTAAATGTGCTCATGTCACCTGCTCACATCAGTGATCAAACTGTGCTGTTGATTGTGATGATTTAAGAATCATGTTCATCTTAAATATGTTACTGAGGGGGTCTTAAATTAATAAGAAAAACATAATAAAGGTTAAAGGCAATATGACTATCACATAAAGACTGAGCATGCCACTTTTGTCCACACTGAAGTGGAAGCACATATTCATGGAGAGTGGAAAGTATCAAATTACTGTCTCTAGTACACTACACTATACTTCACTTTCACCGTATGCTAGTATACTTAATACTTATTTTTCAGTAGGTAATATTTTACCATTTATTCCACTTCATTATATTTAACTGCTGCAGTTACCTTGCAGGGTGTTGCTCTTTATACAAAACATAATGTACAGTATACACCAAAAAACTACCAAAAGTTTGTACACACCATCTCGTTTAATGTTTTTACTTTATTTTTACTACTTTCATTATTTCATTATTTCATTATTGTAGATACTTACTGAAGACATCAAATATATGAAGCGAGATATATGGAATTATGTAGCAAAGAAATAAATGATAAATAACTCTAAAAATAATGTCTTATATTTTAGATTCCTCAAAGTAGCCTCCCTTTGCTTTGTTGACAGCGTTACAAACCCTTGGTCTTCTCTCAATGAGCTTCATGATGCTCACCTGTTTTCACTTCACAGGTGTGACTTGTCATTTTTCATTTGTGGAGTTTCTTGTCTTCTTAATTATTGTTGGGACCATCAGTTGTGTTGTGCAGAAGGTTGGTACCCAGCTGACAGCACTATTTGACAACTGTTAGAATATTAGGGGAAGAACCAATAAGCTAAGTAAAGAGAAATGACAGTTCATCATTACTTTAAGAACTGAAGGTCAGTCAGTCAGAATATTGCTAAAACTTTGAATGTGTCACAAAAGCCATCAAGCACTACAAGGAAACTGGCTCACATGAGGACCGCCCCAGGAAAGGAAGACCGAGAGTCACCTCTGCTTCTGAGGATAAATTCATCTGAGTCATCAGCCTCAGAAATCGCAAGTGAACAGCACCTCTGATCAGAGCCCAGATAAATGCCACACAGAGTTCAGTAGCAGACACATCTCTACATCAACTGTTCAGAGGAGACTGTGTGAATCAGGCCTTTATGGTCAAACAGCTGCTAAAAAAACCACCACTAAGGAAAGGCAACAATCAGAAGAGATTTGTTTGGGCCAAGAAACACAAGGAGTGGACAATAAACCAGTGGAAATCTGTGCTTTGGTCTGATGAGTCCAAATCTGAGATCTTTGTTTCCACCTGCTGTGTCTTTGTGCAAAGCAGAAAAGGTGAACGGATGGTCTCTACATGTATAGTTGCCACTGTGAATCATGGAGGAGGTGGTGTGATGGTGTGGGGGTGCTCTCCTGGTGACACTGTTGGGGATTTATTCAAAATTGAAGGCACACTAAACCAACATGCCATCCTATCCAGTTTGCATTTAGTTGGACCATCATTTATTTTTCAACAGGACAATGACCCCAAACACGCCTCCAGGCCTATTTGACCAAGAAGGAGAGTGATGGAGTGCACAGTCGTCTGACCGAAACCCAGTGGAGATTGTTTGGGATGAGATGGACCACAGAGCGAAGACAAAAAGGCCAACAAGTGATCAGCACCTCTAGGAACTCCTTCAAGACTGTTGCAAAAACATTTCAGGTGACGACCTCATGAAGCTCATTGAGAGAACGCCAAGAGTGTGCAAAGTAGTAATGAAAGGAAAAGGTGGCTATTTTGAAGAATCTATAATATAAAACATGTTTTGAGTTATTTCACACTTTTTTGTTTACTACATAATTCCATATGTGTTCATAGTTTTGATGCTTTCAGAAAAATCTACAATGTAAATGTTCATGAAAATAAAGAAACGCCATTAAATCAGAAGGTGTGTCCAAACTTTTGACTGGTAGTGTACAGTGGGTATGGAAAGTATTCAGACCCACTTAAATTGTTCATTCTTTGCCTCTCCTCAGTGCAAGACACATGAATGCCCTCATGGAGTTTGCTAAAAATATAAAAAAAAAAACACCTGAAGGACTCCAAGATGGTGAGAAATAAGATTCTCTGGTCTGAAGAGACCAAGAGAACTTTTGGGCCTTAATTCTGAGTGGTATGTGTGGAGAAAACCAGGCACTGCTCACCACCTGCCCAGTACAGTCCCAACAGTATGCATGTTGGTGGCAGCATCATGCTGTGGGTGTGTTTTTCAGCTGCAGGGACAGGACGACTGGTTGCAAGTGAGGGAAAGATGAATGCAGCCAAGTACAGGGATATCCTGGACGAAAACCTTCTCCCAAGTGCTCTGGACCTCAGACTGGGCCGAAGGTTCACCTTCCAACAAGACAATGACCCTAAGCACACAGCTAAGATAACAAAGGAGTGACTTCACACCAGCGCTGTGACTGTTCTTGAATGGCCGAGCCAGAGCCCTAACTTAAACCCAACATAAAAATGGCTGTCCACCAACGTTTATATCCAACCTGACAGAATCAGAGAGCATCTGCAAGAAGGAATAGCAGAGGATCCCCAAATCCAGGTGTGAAAAACTTGTTGCATCTTTCCCAAAATACTTCTACTAAATACTGAGTAAAAGGTCTGAATACTTAGGACCATGTGATATTTCAGTTTTTCTTTTTTTAATAAATCTGCAAAAATGTCAACAATTCTGTGTTTTTTTTGTCAGCATGGGGAGCTGTGTGAACATTAATGAGGAAAAAATGAACTTTTAGCAAATGGCTGCAATATAACAATGAGTGAAAAATTTAAGAGGGCCTTTCCGTACCCACTGTATATTAGATATATATTGATATTAAAAGATCAGAGTCTCACTGGTCAGAGATGTGTCTTCAGTCTGAGACTTAGGATAAAAATTGTATTCTCGTCATAACCCAATGGAAAATTGAACAAATGGGGAAAATGATTTGAGGCACGGAAACCTCTTACATTACATAAAGAGCCATGAAAATTATACATGTAAATGCAAATCTGTTCCCCCCCCTCCTCAGACTCACAGTGAACTATAGCAGGGAGCTTTTCTGATATCACCACTGGAGGGCGCTGTGGTCCAGCTGGTCCCAGCTCCAGCTTGGTTTCGCACCAGTACTGGGCTCCATCATCTTCTCTACTGGGGGTGATGTTCAGAGTGAAGGTCTCATTCACTGGTTTCTTTTGTTCACTCCTGGACTGTAGGTGATCCAGTGCTGTGTTTCCTCTGTAGAAGGTCACAGTGAGGCTTTGAACAGGAGCTACGTTCTGTACGCTACACTGCAGGGTGTACTGCTGATTCTCAAACATCATCTCAGTGTGGTTTACAAAGCTGATGGAGACACTTTCTGGAAGCTCTGAGAAGACAGGGAAAGAAAGAGTAACACAGGTAGATGTCAGTCAGTAACCGCTGAGAGTATGAATCCATCTAACTGTGTATTTACACAAAGAGATTAAATTTAGATCACAGATGTATGTAAAATCAACTAAAAAGTCTCATTTTCTAAAGTAAGCATACTTACGATAAAGAGTTGGATTCAGAGTGCTAGTACACTGATTACTGGTATAAAAGCACAGTAGACGTATGTCCCAGTCAGTCAGTCTGTCAACTGTCCAGAACATCGTGGTTCCATTTTTTGTAACTTTTCCCACACCGTGCTCCAAACCTGAAGCATCTCCACTGCAGTCCTTCTGACATACATCACATGCAACATTGGCTGGGTCACCGTACTTCACTACCAGTGCAGATGGAGTGAACACAGGATACTCTGTGCAGCTAGGATCTGTAAGAAAAAAACATTACATGCAATTATTTGCAAGAAAAATATTTACCATCCATCCTGCTCACCTCAGTTGCTTTCAATGTATAAGTGTAGCAGATCAAATCTGAGCCTGTCACAAATGACTGAAGCCTGCACCCTGTCTGAGGATGAGCTTTTTCATGTACAGGAGATCATGATGGTGTCCATGAAGCAGGTGGGAGAAGTTCCCATGAAAGTGAAAAGTTAAGAATATGATTAAAATTATTGATCAGCTGTCTGTGACAAATATAAGGATGTAGAAAATATGCGATCTCTTCAACTGTGATAACGAACGTTTGACTATATTTGAAACTGTCAGTCTCCTGGGATTCACATTTCAGTAACTCTGAAAGATGTGATAAACCAAAAACATCCAGTGAGCAGCACTTTTGCAGAGACAGCGGCTTGTTGAGGCCAGAGGAGAAAGGGCAGACTATGACCATCTAGATTTCACCTACAACTGTGCTGGACAGAAAAGCATCTGTCCTCGAGGCTACAGCAGCACAAATGCATGTTGGGTTTCAACAAGCCAAAACAGAAATCAGAGGCTGCAGAGAGACAGGCTCCACCAAATCTGGACAGTTGAAGTTTTCCAACATCTTTTCTCACAGGTGTCTCCAAACCAAAAACAGACTGACTGAATGAATCTGTCAACATCTTTTGGACTCAAGAGCAGGAAGAACTGAGGCTGTTTTAGAGCAAACTGAGGCCCTGCTAAGCATTTAAATGATAACTGACTTTGCTTGAGCAGTTAATAATGATAATTAATCATTGATTGTCTTAAAGTAACTTTCAGATTTGACTTGAATCTTCCAGCTTTGTGTGTCATAAAGTCACCCTGTCCTACACAGTAAGCGACAGATACAGAGAGAGATGAGAAATTCTGATGTCGGACAGTGTGGAGAGATTATGAGGACCCAAATGCAGACACTTGAAAAAGGGAGTGAGTTTAAACAAAAGGCGAGCCATTTATTTGGGTTGAATGAAAATATAAATAAGAGGCAAATGAGAACAGAGACTTAACTAACAAACTAAACTGCATGAACTAAAGCTAAACACAGAACACGAGACCTAGATGTGGGAATATGGAGCGAGAAGGCGGGAGCTGGAGGAAGGAACGCAAATGGACACAAGACAACTGCGGAGACAAAGAAAGGACACACAAAGAGGGAAACATGGAAACAGTTACGGGAGACGAGACACGGAGGGAGCGAGACCAAACACAGACACGACTGGGGAAACACACACAGAGGACATGGCAGACTCTCACAGCAGACACAGGAAAGAGACAGAGCCCAAAAAACAGATACAAATAAACTCAACAGCATAAAAAAACTGAACTCAAGACTAAACTGAATGAAATTGAACTTAAAACATCTTCATGATGTAACGGAAGGAAACATGAACACAAAATAACACAAAACATTAGAGGAGCAAAACTCAGACCACAACATCCTGATAAAGCAAAGCTTCATAAATCAAAAGGAAAACTCAAAACGCTCAAAACACTCAAACCATGACATGTGAACGTTAAATAAACCAGCAAATTGATACATGATGCAGAGCCTGCCTGAAGTAGTTCTCAGGCTTTGCTCCATTAGCTAAGAAAGTGGTTAATACTGTGCTACACATATAGTTACAGTATATCACTTCATATGTTGTGCACTGTCTGGCACTTAAAAGGATATAGATGATAACTATTACACAGAAAATAAGGAAGGCACAATACTGAGAAAAGTAAATTAAGAAAATTACAATAAAAATATATATATTGTGAAACAATACATGTGAAAATCACATAATTTAATGTACAGTAAATAAGACCATTAGAAAAAAATAGAACTGCTATTTATAAACACAGTAACAAAACTCCACGTGTGAGAACTTACCGTAGCCTGACACATGGAAGTGACACAGAGAATGCAACAAAGAAACAGCCAAAAATATGCAACAGCAAAACATGATGTTCAGCTGGTGTCGTCTAAAAGTGAAGCTGATCAGCTCAGGTCTGAAATTTAAAGGAACTGCTGCTCTGTGTGTGTGTGTGTGTGTGTGTGTGTGTGTGTGTGTGTGTGTAGGTGTGATGTGAGACTGGGTGGGAATATCATAAACAAGTGTGTGTAAACATGATAAGTTTACACACACTCATCATGGGTGTGAAACTTTTGGTAATTTGTGGGTTTTTAATGATTTCTTTGAACGGTTCTTTTTCCAGGGTGCAATGACTGTACAGCACACGCTGTTAAAAAACACACAAACAAGAATTGGGTCACGAGTTTGAATTTATTTTAGACTTTATTCAGTGCGCACTGGGCCAGAGTTTACATACAAACTGAATTATGTGTTACATATCTACATATCTCTACACATCATTGCACATGCACTCAGCAACAACAACAACAACAACAACAATAATGTACTTCAGTAATATACCTCATAACTCATAACTGTTCACTGTCAGTCTGCACACTGCTGATTTGCACACCTTTTTCATTTTGATTTTTAACTTTTATACTTGACTTTTAAATTTAGTTTTATTCTATCTGGTCGGCAGTTGCACAGCTATAAGCATTTCACTGCATGTCATATTGTGTATGATTGTGTATATAACACTTTTTTTTTAAATTTGATTTGATATATACACACTCACATCTGTAATAACTGGTTCTGAAGGTTATACAAAGTATTTTAACTTGACAAGGCCTATTAATGTCTCTGGAAAGGTCGTCATTTTGATGCAGGGAAAAAGAGCAGTTCAAAGAAATCGTTAAAAGCCCCAAAATACAATGGCATTAATGCCCATGATGAGTCCTGTCAGATGAGAGAAAGTAACATTTTATTAAATTAAAAATCACACAGAGCAAAAACTAAGGTAATATATAAATATGTTTTATGTAAAAAAATTTAAAAGTTATCTAAGTTCAAACATTTTCACATTCTAAAAAGTGCGTTCTGTGAGCTGTCAAGCACTTTTCACACATGCGTCACACATGACTGAAGCTGATAAGGCAAAACCACAGGAAGGGTGTTTGTGTTCATGTACCAGTTTTGTCAGCATTTGAATTTCTTTTTAGAGACAGCTCATGAAGTTCAAAAATATTTTAGGGAGGGCCAACACCAAAACAGCTAAGCAAACAAAACCAACCAAAACGTGCTAGAGCTCAGAGCAGAGGCCTGTACCATGAATCAGGACTTGGAGATTAGGGTAACATCAGCTTTAAGCCTGGGTAACTTTGTTGCAGACAGGCTGTACAAGTATTTTTAAGTATAACATAAAATTAACAAGAAAAATACATATATTGCAAACAGGTTAAATTGCGGTTTATCAGACATATATTATTTTCAAAATAGAATAATAATGTTGGTTTAACCTAAGGTAAGTAAATACACTCAAGATAATAAGTTTAATGAGTTGTCCTAATCTTATCTAAGTACCAACAACAATGTACATGGAAAGTGCCTTGAGGCAACTTTTGTTGTGATTTGGCGCTATATAAATAAAATTGAATTGAATTGAATTGAAATCTACACTTATTCAAACACATATTCAGTGGAAAATACACTCACGTCCACATCCTTCTTCAAAGGTCTTATGTATGCAAATGTGTAGGACTGCTGTCTTACATTTGGGCAATATCTCTAAAATTAGAAACATCCTGTTGCACAGTGGTCCCCAACCCCCGGGCCTCGGACTGGTACCGGTCCGTGAGTCGTTTGGTAAGCGACAGATACAGAGAGAGATGAGAAATTCTGATGTCGGACAGTGTGGAGAGATTATGAGGACCCAAATCCAGACACTTGAAAAAGGGAGTGAGTTTAAACAAAA